AAACTTCCATAGGAGTAAGAGTCGTTATTAAACTTTCCATAGGAGTAGAGTCATTATCAAACTTTCCATAGGAGTAGGAGTCATTATCAAACTTTCCATAGGAGTAGGAGTCATTATTAAACTTTCCATAGGAGTAGGAGTCGTTATTAAACTTTCCATAGGAGTAGTAGTCATTATTAAACTTTCCATAGGAGTAGGAGTCATTATTAAACTTTCCATAGGAGTAGGAGTCATTATCAAACTTTCCATAGGAGTAGGAGTCGTTATTAAACTTTCCATAGGAGTAGGAGTCATTATTAAACTTTCCATTGGAGTAGCAGTCATTATTAAACTTTCCATTTTTGTAGCGCTACTCCTGTAGAGTTACTACAATTATGAGCGGCCGTTAGATGTAAAATTAGAGGAACATTTTTCACTTCATTCATGCCCCCCTCCAGTGGCACAGCGGTATGTCTGCGGACGTACAACGCTAGAATCCGGGTTCGAAACCCGTTGTGGGCAGAGCACAGATAGCCCATTGTGTACCTTTGTGCTTAATTACAAACAAACAAAGACTTCATTCATCATTCCAACTATTCGTTGGTAAAAGGGTAGCCTAAGAGTTGGCGGTGGGTGATGTTGACTAGCTGCCTCCCGTCAAGTAACTTTGCGCGAAATTCAAACCAAGCCCATCCCAGTATAGTTCAAAGAAGGGCTACTGTCAAAAGGAAAATTAAAGAAACAGTGACATCTATTAAATCTTGGTTCTTTTTTTTTCTGGCAATCCGCCAGAATTTGATGTCATGTTCTTAATAGTAATATCTTTAGAAATAGAAGAAGGGAAACTAAAGCTGTAGTAAAATGTGAAGTAATTGTCTATACAAATATATGGATATATATATATATATATGTATGTGTCAATTAAAAATATTGTTAAATAGTGAAAACATAGTGACGTTATACCATGTTTTCAATTGTTACGATATATTTCGAGACATTAATCATTATATATACTCCACTAATTTCTGCTTGGGTCTTCTTTGTATTTTACCTAGAAAACAACTGATTTCAACAGTTTGTTATCAGTTCTTTACACTAAATGTTTTTAACAGACAAAAACATAAATTTACTGAATATGATGTTATATGTAGACTCCCTGTAGTCGGTAATTTGATGGTCAAATTCTGGAGTAACCGTCTTCCGTGGACAAATTTTAAGTACTTTGAAGCTTACTCATAAAGGCTTCAAACTCGAAGGCTATGAAACGAAAAGGTAGATTGTGTATCAGGTTTTTTTTTGTGTTTTTTTTTTCATATACAATACGCTTTAGCATCATTGCACAAATACCACAGATCTGTGCTAGTTACAAATCGTTTCGCCCCCCAGTGGCACAGCGGTATGTCTGCGGACTTACGACGCTAGAAACCGGGTTTTGATACCCGTGGTGGCCAGAGCACAGATAGCCCATTGTGTAGCTTTGCGCTTAACTTTCAAACAAACAATACAGATCGTTTCATTGTTAAATGATTCTACAGTATCAGAAGACGCTTGTCATCACTACGAAAATCAGCTTAAATTTATTTGTCATTGTTACATAAACCAGTTCAATGTGGATTTTAATAATTACACAAACAATTTCTCGTTACTTGGTTTTATCTTTCTTACCCAATCTGTGCCGGTGTTTGTATTATCTAGCGCTTAATAAAGTTCTAGTAAAAAACAACAAAAATATTCATTTCCCTTTCCATTAAATTTCAAATGTTTATTATAAATAATATTTGATTTATTCAACGATAACGACTAGGCCTACTGATACCTAGAAACCAATAGGATTCGCTAATTAATTATTAAGAGCAGCATCAGATCGTAATTCCATTTTTTTTTACAGCTCTGATTATTGTCACATCCGTGTATCTACGCATTTCAATTTCACGCGCATTGTTGGTGAATGAGAAAATGAGACTTTATTGATTATTGAAAAACAATGAACACGTTGTTTAACGAACTGGCGGCTATCAGCACGTGGTAAATCGATCTTACTCTTATAACAAGCCCTCAAAAGCTTTCTTTGGTTCCACAAGTAATTTTCGCGCGGTAAATATAAGCCGTTCTTCATCGAACGGCACTGACTAATCACAAGTCATCTAAATTTACAAGCTATAAGGATCAGTACTAGTGACAAAATCATTTCCTGGGCCTGGATACAACTTCTGATGTGTCACTGATACACACCGTTCGATTCTGCTAATTTGAGAGCCTGTGGTTTGAGACGGTCTAGCGATACGGTTTTCGCACGAGCAGGCGACCTTATATGAAATAGAATTCAGTCAGTTTGGGGGGAATTGTCTGAAATGTTTGGAGTTTATTTGTTATAGTTCTTTTTTAAATGATTCACGTTTTACTCGCTGCATCACACACAAGAAGGTCCAAGTTTTACATTTATTGACGTCCTTCATATTTGTATTTTTATCTACTATTATCCAAGATGTATAACGTCCTTCATATTTGTATTTGTATCGACTATTATCCCACATGTATGACGTCCTTCATATTTGTATTTTTTCGACTATTGTCCAACATGTATGACGTCCTTCATATTTGTATTTTTTCGACTATTGTCCAACATGTATGACGTCCTTCATATTTGTATTTTTT